TGCCCTAGATGAAATGACAAACTCTGGAGATCCCCATGGAGGGCCACACGCTCCCGGAAGAGTGGAGTGCGGACAGGGTAGGAGGTTGAGGAGTTGGTAGCGGGTGGGGGAGGAGGGAAGGGAGAGGGAGCTGGGATTGATATGTAAAGCAAGCTTGTTTCTAAATTAAAATTTAAAAACATAAAAAGAAAACAGTCAACAACAGAAAGACCAATATGACACCACCAGAATCTAGGGACTCTACACCAGCAAGAACTGAGCATTCCAACACAGATGAATCAGAAGAGAACTACCTTAAAAACAACTTTATGAAAATGATAGAGACCCTCAAAGAGGAAATGAGAAACTCCTTTAAAGAAGTGGAAGAAAAAACAAACAAAAAATTTCAAGAACTGGAGGAAGAGACAAACCAAAACATATAAGACATAAGCAAATCTCTTAAAGAAAGCAAGGAAAGTCAAGAAAAAACAATCAAACAAGTGAAGGAAACAGTTCAAGGCTTGAAAGCTGAAACAATAAAAAAAACATACTCTGAGGGAATGCTGGAAATAGAAAAGCTGGGTAAACTATCAGGAATTAAGATGCAAGCATATCCATCATAATACAAGAGATGGAAGAGAGAATCTCGGGTGTTGAAGATATACTAGGAGAAATAGATTCATCAACCAAAGAAAATCTTGTCCTACAAATCCCTAATACAAAATATCCAGGAAATATGAGACACAGAGAAAAGGCCAAACCTAGGAATAATGGGTGTAGAAGAAGCTAAAGAAACCCAAATCAAAGGTGCAGAAAACATATTCAACAAAATCATAGAAGAAAACTTTCCCAGCCTAAAGAAATACATGCCAATGAAAGTAAAAGAAGCTTGCAGAAGACCAAATAGAGTGGACCACAAAGAAGTCCCCTACAAGGCCCTAGGACCTGCCCCAAATGACTTGACAAATTTTGATAATTCCTTAAGAAAAGCCTCACCCTCCCTGGGTAGTGGATGGTGAATTGGATGGTGGTATTTGTGGGGGAATGGGAGGATAGGAGGGAGAGGGGACTGGGATTGATATGTAAAATAGGATAGTTTCTAATTTAAATAAAATTTATAAAAAGTCCCACCACCACATAATAATAAAAACACCAAATGTATAGAATAAAGAATATTAAGAACAGCAAAGGAAAAAGGACAAGTAACATATAAAGGCAGACCTATCAGAATTACACCTGACTTCTTCATGGAAACTCTGAAAGCCAGAAAGTCCTGGATAGGTATTCTACCAACACTAAGAGACCACAGGTGCCAGCCCAGTCTACTATACTTAGCAAATCTTTCAATAACTATAGATGGAGAAAACAAAATAGTATATGAAAAAACCAGATTTAAGCAATACATATGCACTAATCAAATCCTACAGAAAGTACTGTAAGGAAAACTCCAACCTAAGGAAGTTAACTACACTCACAAAAACATAGGCAATAGATAATCCACTTTATCAAAAGAAAAAAGAAAAAAAACAGAAGGGAAATCCACACACGATAACACCAACAACAACAAATCCAAAACAAACAAGAATTAACAATCATTGGTCATTAATATCCCTCAGTATCGATGGCCTGAACTCACCTATAAAAAGACATAAGCTAACAGAATGTATATGAAGACAGAATCCATCCTTCTGCTGCATACAAGAAGCACACCTCAACTTCAAAGACAGACTTTACCTCAGAATAAAGGGTTGGGAAAAGACTTTCCTATCAAATGGACTCAAGGAACAAGTTGGTATAGCTATCCTAATACCTAACAAATTAGACTTCAAAATTAAAACCAATATAGAGATGAAGAAGGTCATTTCATAATCATCATAGGAAAAATCCATCAGGATGAAGTCTCAATTCTGAACATATATAACCCAATTACAAAGGCATCCACATTCGTAAAAGAAACATTCCTAAAACTCAAATCACACATAAAACCTCATACACTTATAATGGGAGACTTCAACACCATACCCTCAACACTAGAGAGACTTAACATAGAAACAAAAGAACTAACAGAAGTTATGAAACAATTGGGTTTAACAGACAACTATAGAACATACCATCCAAACACAAAAGAATACACCTTCTTCTCAGGATCACATGAAAACTTCTCTACAATCAAAAACAATCAGCAACATAGCAAACCTCAATAGGTACAAAACAATTGGAATAACCCTCTGTGAGTGATCAGACCATCATGCTTTAAAATTAGAATTCAACAGCAACACAAATTGCAGAAAACCTACAAACTCATGGAAATTGAACAATGCGCATCTGCACCATTCCTGGGCCAAGAAATAAATAAAAAAGAAAATAAAGACTTCCAAGAATTCAATGAGAATGAAGACACAACATACCCAAACTTATAGGACACTTTTAAAGCAGGGCTAAGAGAAAAGTTCATAGCGCTAAGTGCCCACATGAAGAAACTGGATAGTAGTCACACTAAAGAATTAACAGTATACCTGAAAGCTCTAGAACAAAATGAAGCAAACACAACCAGGAGAAGTAGACACCAAGAAATAATCAAATTAAGAACAGACATCAATAAAGTAGAAACAAAGAAACAGTACAAAGAATCAATGAAACAAAGAGTTGGTTCTTCAAGAAAACCAAAAAGGTAGACAAACCTTTATCCAAACTAACCAAAAGGCAGAGAGAGAATGTGCAAATTAACAAAATCAGAAATTAAAAGGGGGACAAAACAACGGACACTGAGAAAATTCAGAGAATCATAAGGTCTTACTTTGAAAACACGTAATACACAAACTTTGAAATTTTAAAGGAAATGGACAATTTTCTGGAAAGATATCATTTACCAAAGTTAAATCAAGAACAGCAAGCAATTTAAAAAGACTTAAAACCCCTAATGAAATAGAAGCAGTCACCAAAAGTCCTCCAACCGGGAGGGTCTAGGCCCTGCCCTGGATGAAATGACAGACTATGGACACCCCCGTGGAGGGCCTCACCCTCCCTGGGGGAAATGAGGGGATATTGGGGGGATTGGGGGGAGGGCATGGGAGGAGGGGAGGGAAAGGGAGAGGGACCTGGAACTGACTTGTGAAGCAACCTTGTTTCTAATCTAAATTTAAACTGAAAAATAAATAAAAAATATTAAATTTGATACACAATGTTAGCTGGGGAAGAAGTCTGAAATATATATAATTTATCATGAAATTATATAACAACATAAAATCATATTGTTTTGTCTTTGAGTTTTTCCTTTTAATAGACAACATGCTAATAAAAACCTTTGTACTTAAAAAAAAAGTCCTCCAACCAAAAAAAAAAGCCCTGGGCCAGATAGTTTCAGTGCAAAATTCTTTCAGAAATTCAAAGAAGAGCTAATACCAATACTCCTTAAATAGAAGCTGAAGGGTCATTACCAAACACTTTTTATGAGGCTACAAGTACTTTTGTACCCAAATAACACAAAGACACACTAAGAATGAGAATTACAGACCAATCTCCCACATGAATATTGATACAAAAATACTCAATAAAATACTGTCAAATATAATCCAAAGACACATCAGAAAAATCATACGCCGTGATCAAGTAGGCTTCATCCCAGGGATGCAGGGATGGTTCAACATACGAAAAATCTATCAATGTAATCTACCATATAAACAATCTGAAAAAGAAAAACCACATGATCATCTCACTAGATGCTGAAAAAGCCTTTGACAAAATCCAACACCCATTCATGATAAAGGTCCTGGAGAGACCAGGGATAACAGGAACATACCTGAACATAATAAAAGCAATATACAGCAAACCAACAGCCAACATCAAACTAAATGAAGAGAAACTCAAGGCGATTCCTCTAAAATCAGTAACAAGACAAGGCTGTCCACTGTCTCCATACCTCTTCAATATTGTACTTGAAGTTCTAGCTAGAGCAAGACAAGAAAAGGAGATCAACAGTGTTTATCCCTGGCATACAAACGGACTTCGTGTGTCCATAAGACAAAGAGGGATGCTCTCTCAGCCTGGACTCTTAGGGGAGTGCCTGGACCCTGCCCTGAGTGAAATGACTGACTCTAGATATCCCCTATGTGGAAGGAAGTGGTGATAGGGTGGGAGGCTGGGGGAATGGTGGGGGGTGCGGGAGGAGGGGAGGGAGAGGGAACTGGGATTGACATGTGAAGCAAGCTATTTAAAATTAAAATAACAAAAAAGAAAAGGAGATCAAGGGGATACAAATTAGAAAGGAAGGAGTTAAACTTTCACTATTTTCCAGCATGTAGAAGATTGCAAATAGATCCATTTCTATCGCCATGCACAAAACTAAGTCCAAATGGATCCAAACTAAGAATCTAAGCAATAATGGCAAGGCTACCTTAAAGGCCTTTCCCCTATAATGAGATTCATGACTACCTTATATGCCATCCTAGAGCCTTCATCCAGTAGCTGATGGAAACAGAAGCAGAGACCCATAGCTAAGCACTGAGATGAACTCCTGGAATCCAGGTGTAGAGAATGAGAGGGATGAGCAAAGGGAGTTAAGACCAGACTGAGGAAACCCACAGAAACAGCTGACCTGAACAAGGGGGAGCTCATGGTCCCCAGACTGACAACTAGAAAACCAGCATAGGACTGAACCAGGCCCTCAGAATGTGCTTGTCAGTTAGGAGGACTGGGCAGTCTATGGGGCCTCTGGTAGAGGAACAGTATTTATCCCTATTGTATGAATAGACTTTAGGAGCCCATTCTCCACAGAGGGATACTCTCTCAGCCTATACACATGGGGGAGGGCCTAGGCCCTGCACCAAATGATGTGACAGACTTTGATGATCCCCCATGGCAGGCCTCACCTCCCTGGGGAAGAGAAGGGAGATGGCATGGGGGGGTTGGTGCCGTGCATGGGAGAATGGGAGGGAAAGGGAACTGGGATTCACATATAAAATAAGATTATTTCTAATTTAAATTTAAAAATCTAGAGAAAAAAGAAATTCAAGTCCGTCAGTTTATTACTAATTAAACGTTGATGTTTATTTGATACTAGAAATGTGGTCAGTTATCATAAAGTATTTCTCTTCATCACAAAATAGTAAGGATTTAATCAATCAAAGGAGAAAAAATCTAGAAGCTTTTAAAAATTTTTTTCTTCTAAGAAGGGTCTCCAAAATCTTGAGTAGATTTATCATACTCAGCAATGAAACATTTGAGCTCTTCAACACATCTCTCACCCATTTCTTGCAAATTTTGCCTCAATGCAAACTGTATCGGTTTTTCTAATGAAGGGTCTTGTTCAACCAGCATTTGCACCACCATCCCGAAAGTTTCAAAGTCTTGTCGGTAAGCCTGCTCAATCTCTTTAATTTTTGAAGTGATTGCTTTAGAGCGACTGTTGAGCTGGCTGTCTTCACACAATTCTGTGCCATCTGTTGTGTTCGACTCGGGTTCTTCTGTCTGGTCGACAAATAAGGGTGCCGTGGATTCACTCTCAAACTCGGAAATCTCAATCAAGTTATTTTCATCTTCCTTCTCTGGCTTTTCATTAGCCCTCTTCCTGGCAGACTCAGTCAGTTCCTTCTCAGTCAGCCGGCTAGGTTGGTCTAACACCTTGGATGAAGAAACTGCTGAGGAACTTGAGGATGAAGTATCTCTTGATGTTTTCAAAGACTGGATGGAACTCTCTTTACTTCTGTACCGAGACTGATGGAAGGAGCGTATGGTGCTAAGACTGGAGTCAGATCTCCCGTGTGGGGCATCCTTCCGGCCTACAGCGTGCCTTTTATGGAAAGACCGTTCTCTTGAATGGGAAGAGTAGAAACTTTTTCTTCCAAAGCCATTTCTCATGTGCCTGTATTCAGGCTGTCGCCTTGTGAAATGATCACCTCTTGTGCGTCTGTAAACAGAATCATCTCTGTGAGATCGGTCACTTCTTTGATCATGAGAAAACCTGGCGCCCTCGTCACGTTCTCGGTAATCAACATGACTACTGTAGCCTCTTTCATCAGGTCTGGCTAGCTTAGGTGGTCTCATGTCTCTCACAGGTGATCTCATGTCTAGCGCAGGCGGTTTCTTGTCGCACAGAGGTGATCTCATGTCTCGCTCAGGCGACCTCATGTCTCGCAGAGGCGATCTCTTGCCCCGCAGAGGCGATCTCTTGCCCCGCAGAGGCGATCTCTTGCCCCGCAGAGGCGACCTCATGTCTCGCACAGGCGATCTCATGTCTCGCTCAGGCGACCTCATGTCTCGCAGAGGCGACCTCATGTCTCGCACAGGCGATCTCATGTCTCGCTCAGGCGACCTCATGTCTCGCAGAGGCGATCTCTTGCCCCGCAGAGGCGATCTCATGTCTCGCACAGGCGATCTCATGTCTCGCTCAGGCGACCTCATGTCTCGCTCAGGCGACCTCATGTCTCGCTCAGGGGACCTCATGTCTCGCAGAGGCGATCTCTTGCCCCGCAGAGGCGATCTCATGTCTCGCACAGGCGATCTCTTGCCCCGCAGAGGCGATCTCATGTCTCGCACAGGCGATCTCTTGCCCAGCAGAGGCGACCTCATGTCTCGCTCAGGGGACCTCATGTCTCGCAGAGGCGACCTCATGTCTCGCACAGGCGATCTCATGTCTCGCTCAGGCGACCTCATGTCTCGCAGAGGCGATCTCTTGCCCCGCAGAGGCGATCTCATGTCTCGCACAGGCGATCTCTTGCCCCGCAGAGGCGACCTCATGTCTCGCAGAGACAATCTCTTGCCCCGCAGAGGCGACCTCATGTCTCGCACAGGCGATCTCTTGCCCAGCAGAGGCGACCTCTTGCCCCGCAGAGGCGATCTCAAGTCTCGCACAGGCGATCTCTTGCCCGGCAGAGGCGATCTCTTGCCCCGCACAGGCGATCTCTTGCCCGGCAGAGGCGATCTCATGTCTCGCACAGGCGATCTCTTGCCCGGCAGAGGCGATCTCTTGCCCCGCACAGGCGATCTCTTGCCCGGCAGAGGCGATCTCTTGCCCCACACAGGCGATCTCTTGCCCGGCAGAGGCGATCTCATGTCTCGCACAGGCGATCTCTTGCCCCACAGAGGCGATCTCATGTCTCGCAGAGGTTGTCTCATGTCTCGCAGAAGCGATCTCATGTCCCACACAGGCGTTCTCTTGTCGGGCAGAGGTGGTCTCTTTGGCACAACATTATCTACTCTATGGTAGTCATCACTGGAGTAGCTCCAGGGGGAAGCTCGTTCTCTTAGACGACGTTTGTAGTCATATCTTCCCTTAGACCACATTTCATCTCTAGTGGAAGCCACTATGTTCCCCCGCTGCCACTGAATCCCGTGAAGGCAGGTGTCTGCCCTCCAGGGCCTTTCCTATTACATCATAAAGGGGTGCTGCATGCTATGCAAATCACTTGTCAATTGTGACGTTTCCATGTGTTTCAGTACTTCTGAATTCACACTGCCTCTAATTCAAAATGGAGGGGATGTGATGGTTTATATTATTTCACTTAAACATAAGTTTTAGAATTCTTCCAACCTTTACTCATGCTGTTTTAATCTATCCTAATATATGACTGTCTGACATCCTGAAATATACCCACTCTTTATCTGACTCTACTCTCATCTATACCTTGGATCAGGGGACCTATGTGGGTAAAGAAATTGAAAACTGCTGAGATGCTGACCATTTGATTGTTCAGCTACCATTTACAGATTAGAAATATAAACAGTTCACTAAAGATAACTCTAGAGAGCTCAGCAGGAAAAAGCCCTTCCCCCAATCCTCACAACCTGAGTTTGATCCCCAGGAACATCATAATAGAAGGGGAGAAGCAACAATTACAAATTATCTTCTGACCTCCACATGAATGCAATGACACACATGCCCAAGTACCTACATGCAAGCACACTAAGTAAATGTCAAGATTTATGATAACCCTGAAGACTTGAGCTTGGTAGTTGGTTCCTGTAATCACACATTATTGAGGCTAAAGCAGGATAGTGAATTCAAGGACAAGCTGAGCTACAGTGGAATTCTTCCTTGTCTCAAAAACTTTCCCCGGCCCACAAATATGTCTCTGAAGAACTGTAGACTATTTCTAGATTTTCCTATTTCTAAAACCCCATTCTAAGATTTCATTTGGTTTTAATATTCAACTCTGATGTTTTAAACAGTGCCAATGAGGTAAGAACCTAGTAATAGGAGTTAGAATTTACAGATCTTGGGGAATGGTAGTGTGTTTTATAATTACCATTAGAAAATTATTCCTTCCTCTTGTTGTTTGAAGATTTTCCTGCTGGCATCAATTGCCCTCTTATTTTTAAAAAGCTTTCAATCTCAACATCAGATTGAAACACCTGCATGGTTGAATGGAAAGAGGCTGCCATTTAAGAGTTGTGACTTCACTTTCTATGTAGTTTGAAGAGTTTTGTGCTTTGCTCACAGGGGTGACTTTTAATACAGCTAAATGAATACAAAATAAAGTGAATGGTTTAAAATGCCAAATTGCTTTACTGTGCAGAACATGCATTCCTTCAAATGGAAGTTTAAATGGCAAAAAATTGTTAGTCATTGCTGGTGGAGCTGGTGGTTTAGAGAATTTCATGGGGACAAGTCTGTTTCTCTTGTGCAAACACATACAGAAAACATATCTTCCTCTGTAGGGTGCTGAGGTACACAAGGTTGACCTGAGAAAAGGACAGTGTCTCTTAGTTCCTATTGTTTTCTACATCAACTACTAATCACGTTACACTCCTTCAAAAGGAAAGAAAGTATACGTCATTTTATTCCTTTGTGTTGACTACATTGTTCACTAGAAAGAAGTTGTAGGGCCAGTCAGATGGCACAGAGGATGCAATAACTTGCCACCAAAAGACCTGGGATTCATCCCCAGAACACAGGGAGGAAGGAGAACAGAGGGCTGATCTAAAAATACATGAAGAATTCAAGAAACTAGAAATCAAAAAGCAGAACAATCCAATTAAAAATGGGGAACTGACCTAAACAGAGAATTCTCAACAGAAGACTCTCAAATGGCAGAGAAGCACTTGAAGAAATGTTTATCATCCTTAGCCATCAGGGAAATGCAAATCAAAAGGATCCTGAGGTTCTGTCTTACACCTGTAGAATAGATAAGATAAAAAACACAAGTGGCAGCTCATGCTGGAGAGGATGTGTAGCAAAGGGAATGTTTCTCCACTGCTGGTGGGAGTGAAAACTTACACAGCCACTTTGGAAATCAATATGGCAGTTTCTCAGAAAATTGGGAATAGATCTACCTCAAGATCCAACCATACCACTCCTGGGTGTATACCCACAGCATACTCAATTATATAGCAAGGACACTTGCTCAACTATGTTCATAGCATCTTTATTATTACAAATTATTACAACCTGGGAACAACCTAGATGTCTCTCAACTGAAGAATGTATAATAAAAATAACAGTGGAGTATGGCTCAGCTGTTAAAAACAAAGGCATCGGGAAATTTGAAGGCAAATAGATGGACAGGGAGAAAAAACATCCTGAGGGAAATAACCCAGATCCAAAAAGGCAAACGTGAGAAGTATGCCGCATCCACTGCACAGCCTGTGTCCGAGAACATGCGGAGGGTGTCGGGGATTGACAACACAGAGACTTGTTCAACGATGTAAAAAAAAACTTTAAGCAGGCCCCAAAAAGGCTCAAGAAAACGTCTCAAGAAAGGCCCCCCCTCCAGAAAAGCTTCTGCTCTCTCTCTCTCCCCTGGCTGGTTCTGCTCTGACACCAAAAACTGCTCTGGATGTGTCAGAAGAGGCGGTTAGTCTTTGGACAAGGTCGAGGTCAGGGCGGTTCCCGTGAGCCAGCCCTTTTCAGGAACTTATTGCCCCGGGCATTGTATTGTTTTTAGTAAACATGTTTTTAGTAAACATTGTCTTACAGCTGCCTACTCCCAGGCTGATGGGGAAGTGGGTCTCTGAACAAGGTCTGGTATCCCCACAATATGTACTCAGTCATAATTGAATATTAACTCTAAAATAAATGATAACCATCCTTCAGTCCACAGTCCCAGAGAGGCTAGGTAACGAGGAGGGTCCAAAGGGGACCTTGGATCTCCCTAGGAAGGGGAAATAGAGATCTCCTGGTTGGACTCGGCAAGGGTGGGCACATGAACTTGAGGGATAGGGTTTGGGAGGGAAGGTGGAGGGGGACAGTGATGAGAGAGATGCCTGGAAAGGGGGCTTTAAGGATTTGGGTTGAAGCCTAGTGCAAGGGAAATTTCCACGAGTATACAAGGATGGCCCCAGCTAAGATACCTGGTAGCAGTTGATGCATAGCCTGAACTGGCCATCCCTTTCTGATAGGATTGGTGACTTCCCAGTTTGTCACTGGACAGCCTTTATCCATTGATTGACTGATGAAGGCATATTCAGAACCCATAGCCAAACATTGGGCTGAGCTTGGGAATCCTGCTGAGGAGAGGGAGGAGGGATTTGGGAAACAGGGGAGCCAGGAACATCACAGGAAAACCCATTGAAACACTAGTCTGTCTCATGGGAACTCACACTCTGAACCAACAATCAGGGAACCTGCATGAGACCAACCTAGGTCTTCTGCATATATGTGACAGTTGTGTATCTTGGTCTATGTCTGGGACTCCTGGCAATGGGAACACAGGCCCTCCCCAGTGCTTATGCTGTATTGCCTTGCCCAGCCTGAATACAGGGGGGAGGTGGTTGGTTTTTGGCAAAGGGGTCAAGACCAGGCTGGGGAAACCCACAGAAACAGCTGACCTGAACAAGGGGGAGCTCATGGACCCCAGACTGACAGCTCAGAAACCAGCATAGGACCACACCAGGCCCCCTGAACGTGGGTGTCAGTTAGGAGGCCTGGACAGTCTATGGGGCCTCTGGTAGTGGAACAGTATTTATCCCTAGTGTATGAATGGACTTTGGGAGACCATTCCCCATAAAGGGATACTGTCTTAGCCTAGATACACAGAGGAGGGCCTAGACCCTGCCCCAAATGATGTGACAGAGTTTGATGATTCCCCCATAGAAGGCGTCACCCTCCCTGGGGCACAGAAGGGGGATGAGATGGGAGTTGGTGGAGGCCAGGGTAGGATGGGAGGGAGAGAGAACTGGGATTGGTATCCAAAATAAAATTGTTTCTAATTTAAATTTTAAAAATTTAACACACATGCATGCAAAATGATAGATAGAAATAAAGAAAGCATTGATATGGACAAGTAAATAATTTATATTATACAGAAATAGTACACACACATATATATATACAATGATAAATAAATATTATATACATACAAATGTTAATTGATCATCATTGATGTGTACATGCACATCATCTGTGGAAGATTTAGATAAAATACTTTGTTACAGTGATACCCAAATAGTTGATATATTATATCCATACTTAGGAATATATCCATGTGCAGACTGAGAGATAACACTAAGTATTGCAAAAAAAGATTTAAGGAAGGCTACTTGCTGATAGTGAGGGAGTTAGAAAGCACCCAAGAGGCAGTCAGCAGCCACCTCATTTGGGGTCTTGTAAGTCATATAATGCTGTTTATATCATCATAACATATACACACAGATAGCATCATGGCAAGTATCAGATAAAATTCTTGGGCTAGATTACACAGGAACTTACAAAGACCTAGGGGAAGTCAGTGTCCTCTTTTATCTCTCCCTTGCCAAGAAACATAGAAGCAGAGGTTGCAGGGGGTTGAAAAACTTGAGAGACAGAAAAGGCTTCAGTAGAATGTGTATTTTCAAGCAATGACACAGATGATGGATTTCCTCTCTGTTTTTGTTGTTTCTCACATTTGACTGTCTTAGGTTACTCTCAGGCCAGGCACTCATGTTTATGTGAAAACATTGGGGTTAGTGAGCATGGAGAATGTCACATTTCTGCTTATTTATAGGCCCAAGCTTTTTAGGACATCGACAACTTAAGGTCTCTGTCCTTACCTAAAAGTAACAAAGGCCTCAGGCCTGGCCTCCCAGAGTATCCAAGCCTTATTTAAAACTGTTTGGAAGCCAAGGACATTTTCCTGAATCCATTCCAAACTAGAAAGAAGATGCTGAGGCCTGATATTTTTTGCAAAATATGCAGGCTAAAAAATTGACAGACTTTACACTGACGTCAAATATGAAGAACCATTTATGAATCTGTATTCCACAAGACTGCTGTCTCCAAGCCAAACTGAACAGCATTCAGATTAATAATCAAAACATAGCTGGCAGGAAAACTTGTTTTCTCTTGAAAGAGGGCCAAATTTTAGTTTGGTGGCTGGGATGCCTGGAATCCAAAAGAAAAATAATTTCCTACTCATACTCTGTGCTGTTCCTTTCC